ACACTAAATTTATTTATTGGTGTCGTTATTGATAATTTCAATACACAAAAACGAATATTAAGTTTTCAAAAAAAAACATTCTAAATGAAAAGAAAATATTTGTTTTTTTGTTTTTTACAGTTAGGAGGTGGTGGTTCAATCGAAATGTTTATGACAGACGATCAGAAAAAATATTATAACGCTATGAAAAAAATGGGTACAAAAAAACCAACAAAAGCATTACCAAGACCACGAGTCAGTTTTATCCTATATTTAATTTTTCTAATCGAAGTTTTTATTTTAGTTTGCTCTAGCAAGATTCTTTTTCGATTTAACTACAAATCAAAAATTTGATATATTTATAATGATATGTATTTTTCTTAATATGCTTTGTATGTGTCTTGAACATCATAATCAAAGTGACACTTATGATCATGTTCTTGGATATATTAATAATTTTTTCGTTGCCATGTAAGTAAAGAATCAATAATACAAGTTTAATTCTAAAGAATTAATTTAGATTTACTGTTGAATGTGGTATGAAATTAATTGCATTAAATTTTAAATATTTTACTATTCCATGGAATGTATTCGATTTTGTCATTGTTATTGCATCCATTCTTGGTATAAATATTTCTAAATAATTGATATAACTAAGTCGATTTTTTTCAATATTATTTAGGACAAGTATTAGGAGAACTTATGGCAAAATTTTTTGTTAATCCAACATTATTACGTGTTGTTCGTGTAGCACGTGTTGGACGAGTCCTACGTCTTGTTAAAGGTTTATTAGAATTTTTATATCGATTATTTAATTTTTATATATCTTTAGGAGCAAAAGGTATTCGAACACTACTTTTTGCATTAGCTGTTTCAATGCCTGCTCTATTTAATATTGGTCTTCTATTATTTCTTGTCATGTTTATCTATGCAATATTTGGTATGTCGTTTTTTGCATATGTACGAAAGTCAGCTGGTGTAACAGATTTATTTAATTTTGAAACATTTCCTAATTCAATGATTGTACTTTTTCAAATGTGTACTACTGCTGGTTGGTCTGGTGTTTTACAAGCGTTAACAAATGATAAACCACCAGATTGTGATCCATATATAAAATCTCCATCGAGTAGAGGTGATTGCGGATTAACAGCTATTGCAATACCATTTCTTGTTAGTTATTTAATAATTAGTTCACTTGTTGTGGTATGTATTTAAAGACCTTTGTTTTTTTTTTTATTTCTTCATCTTATTCTATGATCATTTAGGTTAACATGTATATTGCCGTCATCTTAGAAAATTTTTCACAAGCTCAAGAAGATGTACAACAAGTAAAAGCGGAGTTTTTCTTTTTTACAATCAATTATATTATTTATTTCTAGGGTTTAACTGATGATGATTATGATATGTATTATGAAAAATGGCAATATTTAGATCCATCGGGTTCACAATTTATACGATATGATCAATTATCAGATTTTGTTGATGGTCTTGAAGCACCACTACAGATTCCAAAACCCAATCAATTGTTACTTGTTGCTATGGATTTACCAATATGTGCAAATGATCTTATGCATTGTGTTGATATACTTGATGGTCTCACAAAATACTTTCTCGGTACACTTGATGTACCAGCAGCAAATGCAGAAACAGATGGACCAAATGATATGAGAAAAGATCGTCCAAAAGATTATCATCCAATATCATCAACAATTCGACGTCAACGTGAAATTTATTTAGGTCGAATGGGTTTAAAAGGTTTTCGATCTAATGTTGAAAAACGTCGACATGAACGAGAATGTCGTGAACCAATACTTGAACGAGCTCAAATTGATGAACTTATTGAATTAGATGAATTAGGAACTCCAAGTTTAGATTTACATCATAATCATACTTCAAATTTAATAATAAGAAGATTATCAAAACAACAACAAACAACTGATTCTAATAGATCATCGACTTGTTCTTTTGACGCGAGATCATCATGTTGATTTAGATAGACTAGGCTTGTTTGTGATAATATGATTGCTTCGTGCAGAGTTTTATATATATATATATGTTCTTTAAAATGCAGTGAAATTAAATTGAATGATTAAATAGACATCTATGTATGTGTATTTAAATAAAAATATAGATATGGAGAATATAATTTTGAAGGACTTCTTTTCTTATGATGTTTAGAATCAAGGGCAATTCTAGATTTACATAAATATGATAGAGTTTTTTGAATGACATGTCAATGGTATACTGTGAAATTATAAACGCCTTGATCGGAAAAAGAAGTTTCTTGTCAAATTTGACTTTCTGTCAAAAAATTTTATAGTAAAAACTTGATTTTTTGAATTCTATTGAGCATTTTTCTGGTAGAAAGCTTAATAAAAACCATAATTTTATTGACAAAATTAAATTGAAAGTGTATAATTTAATAATTTTCTATTTCATATATGTCTTGTCACATTGTATTTGATGTAATAAATGCAATGATGAAGGTTAGTTTCCTACATTAGCTAAACGAATAAAAAATATAATTTATCCTTGAATGAATTAATATGAAAATTTTTTTATCCATCTAATTATTTCTCATTAATACAGATTATATGAAAATATTATCTTTTTTTTTTTTCTGTTCATAAATATTTTGATTAGACGTGTCCGTTATGAATTATTTATAGACTCTATCTCTATTCAAATGATATAAATATGATTAATATCTTCATCATGAAAAATAATTTCCATACGAAAAAATGTTCAAAATGGTTTCAATATCATTTTTATCTATTCAATTAACTTTAACGATAGACGATATTAAATGCATGATATATCTTGTCCCAAGATACAAGTTTAACAACGAAAAAAATGAATGATATATTCAGTTAGTAAATCGATTTGACTTCTAACGTATACAATACATGCAAATTCTTCATCAAACTTGTCACATACAATCACATTGATTCTCTTTTTAACTATACAATCGCGTGTATTATACATATACATACCGACATAATAGAGA